TTGCTCTTTTTGGTTCTTTTCTATTTTCTTCTTTTTTGCTCTTTTTGGTTCTTTTCTATTTTCTTCTTTTTTGATCTTTTTGGTTCTTTTCTATTTTCTTCTTTTTTCTCTTTTTGGTTCTTTTCTATTTTCTTCTTTTTTGATCTTTTTGGTTCTTTTCTATCTTCTTCTTTTTTGCTCTTTTTGGTTCTTTTCTATTTTCTTCTTTTTTGATCTTTTTGGTTCTTTTCTATTTTCTTCTTTTGATTTTACTTCCTCATAGAGGAAGTATTGTAATACCAAAATTTTTCGAGTTCGATTTTTTGACATATCCTTATGTTATTTGACCTCAAGAGTTCAAAAATGACATTTTTAAAAAATGTCATTCCGTATGTGTGTGTATGTGTGTGTAAACATCACATTTTCATAAATATCTCGAAATCATGAAGAGCTTTTAGGCTGAATTTTTTTTTAAATTGTAGATCTAACCTGCGGACATAAAGTGAGAGTACTTTCTGATAAATTAGTAAAGTTTAACTAAATTTTTTTTTGATTTTTAATTTTGAAAAAAAATGTTTTTTGACCATAACTTTAAAAAAATGTTAGGACACCTATAAATGTTTTTCCATAATTTTGTAGAGTTTTTTTAGACGCATCTTTTGAGCCCTAATTGAACATTTTTCGTCCATATTAACCAGAGATTTTTAACTTTTAAATATCAAAAATTTTGGAAAATAAGGCTTTTTTGAAAATTTTGTTGAAAAACGTAGAAGTAACTTTAAAATTATCGTTATCAACTTGTAGAGCATTAAAAAACGCTTCGATTGACCTATTTTTGAAACTACTTCGAAAATAAGTTTCTAAATTATTGGTATTTTAAAAACCAAAAATTGTGAAAAATGACATTTTCTCAACTTTTTTGTTTGAAAATTTTTGTTTAACTATTAAATTATTGTAACTATCTTGTAGGGTATTTAAAAATACATTTATTGACCCAAAATTTAATCACTTTTACCATATTTATAAAAAGTTATTCATATATTTCTATTATTTTTATCTCTATGAGGAAGTAAAGTGTTCATGAAATGAGCACCAAAATTATAAAAAAAAATATACAACTTGTTTTTTCTTTTCCTTATTCTTTCCTTCTTTATTTCTCATTCTTACTATTCTCCTTTTTTCTTTTTTGTTCTTTTTAGTTCTTTTCTATTTTCTTCTTCTTTTTTCTCTTCTCTTCTTCTGTTCATTGGATTTTTTTCTGTTCCATATTTTCCCCTTTGTTTTTTTGTTTCTTTTCTCTTTTATTCTTCTTTGTTTTTTTATTCTATTTTATTTTCTTCTCGTTTTATCGAAATTTTTTCTCTTTTCTTCTTCATTTTTCACTTCTCCCTTTTCTTTCCTTCTGTATTTTTTTCTTCTCTTTTCTTCTACTCTGTTCATGTTTCTTCTTTTCACTTTTTATTTCCTGTTTTTTTAAATTTTATTTTATCTTTTTTTTAATTTTTACTTTGTTTTTTTTTCTTCTCTTCACCTTTTTTCTCATCTGTTTCTTATTTATTTATTTATTCATTTATTCGTATAAACGGGCTTACAAAAGAGTAAATTGACCATATTGTCTTTGTTTCTTTTTTGATCTCTCTTTTTATCTTTCATTTCCTAATTTCTTCTCTTCTATTGTTTTTAATTTTCCTCCTTTCATTTCTCTTCTTATCCCTTTTCTTTTGTTCCTTTTTACTCTTCTCTTTTCTTCTATTTTGCTTTTTTCGGTTCTTTTCTATTTTCTTCTCTTTTTCTCTTCTTTTGTTTTTTCTTTTCCCTCTTCTTTCCTTCCCTTTTATTAAATTTTCTTTTCTCTTTTTTCTTTATTTATTATCTTTGTTTCTTCTTCTTCTTCTTCTTATATTTTTTCTTTCTTTCTTTTCTTTCTTATTTTCTTCTTTTTTTAACGATCTTGCTCATTCATCTCCACATTTCTTCTCCTTTGTACTTTTTACTTTACTTCAGTTATTTTTTCTTTGTTTCTATTTTTATCAGTTTTTTTTCCTTTTTTATTTTCTTTTTTTCTTTTCTCATTTCTTCTCTTTTGTTCTTTATTAGTCTTTATTTTGAAGAATACTTTCTTGTCTTATACTTTGTTCTTTTTGCTTTGTTTTTAATTTTTTTCTTCTCGTTTTTTTTGTTTTCTTCTTTTCTTTCTTTCTTTTTAATTTCTTCGCTGTTCTTTATTATTTTTTAAAATTATTTTCTTTTATTTCTCTTTTCTTCTTTTTTATTTCTCTTTGTTTTTTTGTTTTTTCCTCTCCCTCTTTCTTTCTTCCCCATTATTTAATGCTTTTCTTCTGTTCTGTGTCTCTTCTTTTCCCTTTTCATTCTTTCTTTGCTATTTCTTCTCTTTTGTTCTTTAATTATTTTTTATTTTATGAAATTTTTTTTCTCGTCTTCTTTATTCTATTTGTTTTTCTTCTCTTCTCTTCTAATATTTTTACTTTTCTTCTATATATTTAGTATTTTTTTTCTCCTTTTTTTTCTTCTTTTTAATTTTTTCTCTGTTTGTTATTTATTATTCTAAATTTTTGTCTTTTAAAGTTTGTTTTTCTTGTTTTTTGTTTCTTCTTTTTCTTTTTTTTATTCTTTGCTTCTTTTTTTCTTTATTCTTTTTTGTTCTACATTCGTTTATTTTAGAATATTTTAGAGAATATTTTCTTCTCTTTCTCTTGTTTTCTTCCGCTTTTTCTTCGTTTTTTGTAGAACATTTTATTAGAGAGAATATTTTCTTCTCTTATTTTTTATTTTCTCTGAGTTTCTTTTAATTCTCTCTTCTCTAATTCTCTTTTACTATTTTTGCTTTTCTTCTGTTCTTTTTCTTCTTTGCCCTTTCGTTTTCTTTCTCTTTTCCTTCTTTTTCTTTTCAATTTTCTTTTTTTCATTTCTATTCTTTTTTCTCTTCTGTTTTTTTTTCTCTTTCCATTTCTGTCGTTTTTTCATCTCTTTTATTATGTTTTCTTCTTCTCTTCTATTTTTTTTTTTCTTTTCTTCGTTTCTTTCTTTTTCTTCCATTTTGCTCTTTTTATTCTCTTTTTTTCCCTTTTCTCCTATTTTTATTCTCTTTTATTTTTTTTTATTCTTTTTTGTTCTCTATTCCTATTTGTATTTTTATCTTTTTTCTTCTCTTTTCATTTTTTACTCATTTCTTTTTTGTTCACAATTATTCTTCTTTTATACCTCTTTCTTCAATTAATTTTCTTCTCTTTTTTCCTTCTTCTTCGCCATCTGTCTCTTGAATTCTATATCTATTTTCTTCCTTTCTCCTTTTGTTTTTTCTTCTCTTCCCCGATTTATTATTTTATTTTTTCTTCATCTGTCATGAAAAATTACTTTTATTTTCTTTATTACTCCCTTGACTGCAGTAATTTATCATCTTCATTGTATTTCCCAATTTATCGTTTTTATTTCTCTCTAATTTTTGATCCATTCTTTTTTCCTCTTTGCCTGTAATACTTCGCCATTTTCTATTTTAGTATGGATAAATATAATTTATTTAGCATTCCTGTCGAATGCAATAAAATTTATGAATACATTTTTTTTACCAATTAATTTTTTCTATGTGCTATTACTTTTTTTTGAATTATTTTTATTTTCTTTTTTTATATTTTAGTTTTCTTGACCATTTTTTCATAGTTTTCTCTATTTATCCTTTATTTATCTGTGTTTATTCTTTATTTCTTAATTTTTACTGGTAATTTTTCGTATTACTATTTTTCCTTTAACATTTTGTTTCAAGTTAGTTAATTAAACATTAATTTTTTCTTTCTTTTTATTATTTTTTTTGGAACATATTAATTTTTGTTATTAATTTAAAATTATTATCATCATCACTATCTATTATATTTTTTTGTTACCTATTCTATTCATTATTACCGTTATTATTTTTGTATTATTTTCCTTATTTTGATTGTTATTAGTTTCATCGTTTTTTTTCTTCACAGTTTTTCTAAAATTATCAAATTGAAACAAAATTGCGACAAAATGTTGCTTCGCAACACTTTTGATTTGTTTTTGTCTCAATTGATATTCTTGGAAAAACTGAATTATTATTATAATTATTTTTATTATCCTTATAATTATTTTCATTGTATATAATATATAAAAAATAATTATTTTATTCTATTATTTTTTAATAATTTTCTTGAACTATGCAGATTTGTGATTTATTTATTATATTTAATAAAATTTATTTAAAGAAATAAATAAAAACTCAATTAATGTTTTAACAGTATAAAAAAAATAATAGAGAAATAAATTGGAATATATTTTTCATTCACGATAACAAGATAATGCCTAAAATAATTAATTATTTATTATCGAAAAATCAAAAGATAAGTATTTACAAAGAAAAGGTCCCCTGAGTGTACAGGTCTTCGACCCTTAAAATCCCTCTTTCTTTTTTCTCTCTCTGTTCCTCTCTTACACTTTTCAACATTCTCTATCTCTTTTCTAGTTCTCAATCAGATAAAACTTACCTATACAACTTTTGCTCGAAATCCCCTTTTTTCCTTCAATTATATCTCCTTCTTTTATTTTCCTTTCTCATTCCCTAAAACTTTTTAAATCTCTTCATTTAATCTTCATTTAATTTTTTCTATTTTACTCAACATTTATAATTTTTCTCTCTTTCTCTCATTTCGCTTAAAATTTATAATCTCTCGCTCTCTTTCTATAATTTTGCTTACAATTTATAATCTCTCTCTCTCTCCCTCATTTTGCTTAATATTTATAATCTCTCTCTCTCTCTCTCTTTTTCTCATTCTTATTTTGACGAATTTCATTTAAGTTTTATTGCTTTTCATCCCTCACTCTTGATAGTTTGTCGCTTTCTCCCGACGACCCCTTCTCTCTCTCAACTTTCGCTCGAATCGCGCTCAAAACACCCCGACGATATACCCACCCTTCTATCCTCACCCTCTCTCTCTCTCTCCTCTCGCATGCCTGCCGAGCGCAACGGCGATCCAGCCGCAGTTCATCGCGGGTCGTTCCAAAGAGTGCCGGGATCCCCCAAGATATAGTATTGTAGACTCAATTTTTCAGGGAAAAAAAATAATAATCAAGAACGTGCCAAAAAAAATCTGCCATGCGTCTGACATCAGAAGCATGCAGGTGGGTTTTCATTTATCAACGAACAGTTTTTTATTCAATTACACTGTAAAAAATTTAGGGAGTTAACGGACTCGGGAATTGGGAGTGAAATTTTTCGAGTTAAAAATCAACTCCAAAAGAGAGTTAATTTACTAACTCCTACTAACTCCCTTCATCAACACCCGCGCGAGTTATTTTTTCCTTGAGGTGTTGGCATTTGGGTGTAAAGTTTTAACTCTCTTTATTTAACTCCCCTGGCATTAACTCCCCAATGGGTGCGACTTTTATAGAATCCCCTGGGGAGTTAAAATTTAACTCCTATTTTTTACAGTGTAATTAATTAATCTTTATATGTGTTTTTGATTTTTTATCACAAAAAAATAAGAAACTAATTTTTGAAAACAAAAATTTTTATTGGGAAAATAATAAATTGATGTTATATTAAAAGAAAAGAAATTTATGTTTTATAAAAAAAAATTTATGTTTTATAAAGAAAATTATGTTTTATAAAAAAAAATTATGTTTTATTGAAGGAAAAAATTGATGTTTTATTGACGGAAGGAAATTGATGTTTTATTGAAGGAAGGTTTTATATTGAGGGAAAGGAACTCAAGTTTCATTGAAAAGGAGCGTAAGAAAATAATAAAAGGAAAAACTTTGTGTAAAAGTTGTATACAACTTTTTATTGATCAGACTTTTCAAGTTTGGATCAGTGAATAAAACGGAATCGATGTGAACTGATTTAGCGTCAAAGATGATTAAGAAAAGAACAATAAAAAGGAATATAATATGATTCCTCGAAAATACGTGTGATGCTTGAGGAAGAATTTACTGAGACAGTGAGTTTAGGACTTTTGGGGCTTTCAGTTTACTATTTCAATTTTATGCAAAAATGTTACTCTTAAATTTTTTTTTTAATAGTTATTTTTTCAATTTTTATTGACATTTTATAGAAAAGTGAATGCTATACTCTTCTTTATTTTATTGGTAGTTTTTTTTATTTAATTTTATTATTACTATTACTATTTCTAATTATTATTAGTAGTATATTTATATTACTATTACTAATTATTAGTATGATTGACACTAATTACTATTAGTATTAATATTATTATTAATAGTTATTTTTAATATTTTGTTACTGCTAATTATTGAAATGAATTATTTTTATTCTTATTATTCATCTGGCATGTTTTTTAATTATATCTTTTTATACGGAATTTTAATTAAAATATAAACAATGTTTTTATCACACGCTCGTTAAATTAATAAAACGTGGAATTCAACAATTAATTAAAATATAGGTACACGAGAAAATTATTCCGCAATCTCAATTGTTTATGAAGCATTAGGAATTTTTTGCAATCCAAACTAGAAGAATTTTTTAGTAATTCACAGTTTTTCTAAGAATTCAAAATTGAGACAAAAAAACGTTTAAAAATTGTTGCGATTCAACATTTTTTTTTTGTCTCAATTTGATACTCTTAGAAAAACTTTGAACCGAATAAAAATTAAAAATTTTCATTGTTTTAATTGAAATGGAGAATTCAAATACAAATTTAAAATTAAATTTCTTTCAATAAAAATTCGTGACAAATTCACTAATTATTTTTAATTAGATTTAAAATTTTCAATGATAAGTGAAAAAAATTCCAATTATTCCAATTTAGTGGCTAACAACGTTTTAGGATTGTAGTCGCAGTGAAACGTTAATCGGAATTTTTTTCTAATTTAGAAGACGAGAAATATTTTCACTTTTATATAATAGTTATTAGCTACTTTAATAAGTAAATCTATTAAAATAATAGAATTGCAATAATAAATAATTATAATAACATAATTATTAAATTATTACTGAAACAAAATTTAAAAATATAAAAATTACAAAAAGTATATACAGTAGTTTTTAATGCAGATAAAATTTTTAATGCAAAAAAATTCGCAAATGCATTAAAAAATTTTTAATTTCTTTTTGCAAGAAAATTTCTAAAATGAATAAAAAAATTTTTTTAATGCAAAAACATTGAATAACTATTAAATTGGATTTATTGATAATAAAAAAATTTAACTGGACGTAAAACAATTTTATCTCGATGGAAAATTCATTGTCTAATATTGCGTTGATTGACGAGAAATAATTAGTCGCAATTATAATTTTCGTATACACTAAATTTGGTCATAAGCGCGTAGTTTGCTGTTCATAATCAATTTCACAGGCTATTAATTTGAACGTAAATTTATTCTGGAATGTAGAGTAATTAACCTTGATTTTGAAAATAAATTTGAGATTATTAAAATTAGTCGCAGTCAACATCAATCAGTATTTTCTCCAATATTCACCAAGAGTAGTATCTCTTATTTTTAAAATGTAAATTATTTTTGCAAGAAAAATTAACAATTTTCTCTTATTCTTTAAATTTTTTTTAAATACTTTATCGTATTTTTGAGAATATTTAAGTATATTTGAGTAAATTTGGGTATTTTTGAGTATGTTTGAGTATATTTGAGGATATTTGAGAATATTTGAGGATATTTGAGAATGTTTGAAAATATTAGAGTATATTTGAGTATATTTTTGAAAATTGCAACTATTTTAAATTTTCTTTCTTACTTCTTTATAGAGACAGAAAAATATTTTAGAAATAAAAAAGAAAAATAATAGAATATAGATTTTAGAATTTAAAATAGTTTATAAATAGTTTGAAAAATTACGCATGAATTTTTTTTTATTTGCTTTCATGTAGTTAATTCTTTGCCTAGAATATTTCATTATGTTTGTAAATTTATATTCAGTACGGTTATAATATTTTTGCATAATTTATATATTATTTAGAGTGTATATTTTTTAAAAATTTATTCATTTACGGTTTTTATTATAGAAAAATCTCGTCTTGTACAATTTGCACGTTTATATCATTTTTTTCATTCTATTTTTCATTGGACGATAAATCAGACTTGAGTAAAATACGATCAACAAAGAAGAGACACGGCAAACAAGTGTAACACAATATATATTGGTTTATGTCGACGAAACTTTATGCGAATTTTGTATAAAATACTTTAAAAAAATATTTTATGTGAAAAAATGGAATAGAAAATGTTTAATTTCACTTTCAATTATTTTTTTTTTCATTATTCGAAAATAGTTGAGAATTTATAGTCGAAAACTGTAATTAATAAACCAATCAAAGTCGGTGTCTTAAAGATGAATAATAACAAATTAAATAAATAAATAAATAATAGTAATAAAAATAAAAATAATAATAATAATTTGCCAATAAATAAAAATAATATTAATGAGTAAAAAAAAATAAAAATTCACATGATTGATAATAAAAATTTGATGTTTATCATTATAGTGTAAAAATAACAATTATCGACAAAAGTTAACCGAGATAAATTTCATTTTACACTTAAAATAAAATTTTATTTTAAATAAATTTATAGGAGAAGAAAATAATTTTCATTATTTAAAAATTGTTCCAATTTACACATTTTTCCCGCAACTGCGTTTGATGCAAAAATATTTTCACCTGAAATGGAAAGAGTAACTTGTTTTCAAATATGAAAAAAAATTTTCCAATTTGCAACTTAAAGAGAAAAAAAGAAAAAAATTATATATTGGAATTTTTATATTTACCTTTTTCTAAAAACGAAAAAAAAACGAGAAAAATTGGTAAAGATCTGTAAAAAGAATTCGTGACCGGATGAAATCGCGTGACAACCCACGAGCTCTTTATAGTTTTCATCGATTCAAGACACGAGGACAAGCACGATTTTGAGTTTTAAAAGTAAATTCATCGCTCGCGTACACACACACACACACACACACAAACAGACCACGTGGAATATATTTTACCTTAATCATAAAAAAAAAAATAAAAATTACTTATTATTTATTGATGAGAAGTTTTCGTAATTTTCGATAATACATCTTCTCCTATTCACTCCTCTCCCTTCACCATCGCCTCCTTCCACCCTCAGGATATGGGGATTTATTTACCTTTAAAACGAATCACTGAGCATCATGGAAAATTGTAGAAATTGAAAAGCAAAACCCTGCATCAATATTTTATCAATGCCATGTTTTTATAGCGCATTTGATGCATATCTCTTTACCCTCAAGGTATTCGGTGGTATAATGATGTGTATATAAATATATATTTGTACTTGTAGAAAATATTAAACGATTTTAAATTTTTTTTATAGATGTATTTTTTTTATTTTCTTTTTATAATATTCGATACGCAATTTAGAGAATTTTTTGCTTCTTGTAGCGGAAGGACAAATTTTTTCTTGACAGATTAAATATTTATGTTGGGAACTTTGTGAGGAATGGTAAAAAAGAATATTTATGGAAACAGAAAAATTGTAAATAGTAACAAAAATCGATAAAAAAATAAAAAAGAACAATTATCAAGAAGGGTTAAAATAAAAAATGAGAAAATAAAAAATTTGTTATAAAAGCAATAAAAATAAATAAAACTAAAAAAATAAAAAAAAAAAATTTCGTTAAAATTTTGAATATTCGGATAAAAGAAATTTTTCTTCTTCTAAATATTCGAAAAATTTACTATTAACGAGATTTAAACATCTTTTACAATAAATGTCTGACTAAAATTGTCTCTTACTACTGAAACTTTTAGTTATTTTACGGTTAACAAGATAAATATTTTCCAATAAATGTCTGACTAAAATTTTCATTTACTACTGAAATTATTTTTTTTTCAGTGAAAAAGATAATTTTTTCTCAAAAATAACTGTCTGACTAAAATTATTTTTTTTACTATTTTATTCCTTTCTTTGAAGTTTATGTTTTTTTACGATTAAGAAAATAAAGACTATTTCATAATAATTGTCTGCCTTAATTTAATTTCAATAATTGCCTGCCTCAATTTTACTATTGAAATTTTTACTCTCTTTACTTTTAAAAAATTTAGAATTCTTTTGACAATAATAGTCTGACTAAAATTGTCTCTTACTATTAAAGCTTTTAGTAATTTTAGTGTTAACAAGATAAGAACTATTTTTTCAATAAATGTCTGACTAAAATTGTCTTTTACTAGTGAATTTTTCAATTATTTTACTAGTAACAAAATAAAAACTATTTTGTCAATAAATGTCTGACTACAATTTTTTTCACTACTTAAATTCTTTATTTTCTTTTTAAACATAAACTTAACTTAACCAAAAAATATTTTCTTCGGTAGAAAAAAATAATTCAGGTAAAAATTTTTTTTTTCAAAAATACCTGCCTGACTAGAATTATTATTACTACTTAGGTTTTATATTTTTTACGTTTGTTAATAAGTTAAGGACTATTTCTCAATCTTCGTCTGCCTAAAATTCAATTTTACTAATGAGTTTCTTATTTTCCTTACTAAGAAAAGATAAAAAAAAGATAAAAAAAAAAAAAAAAAAAATCTTTTTTTCTGTAAAAAGATTACAATTATTTTTACAACAAAACTTATAGTATACTACTAAACTTTTCAATCTGTTTACTATTAACAAGATTTTAACTACTATTGCAATATTTGTCTGACTAAAATTTTCCTTTACTACTGAAGCTATAAAAATAGTAATAAAGTTTTCGAGAAATAAATACAGAATAATAATAATAAAATATTCGAGAAATAAATATGACTAATAATAAAATACACGAGAGATAAATAAAAATAAAATATTCGTGAAATAAAAAAAATAATAGTAATATTTTCGAGAAATAAATTAAAAATCCAAGAAGGAAGAAAAAATATTTCTGAGTAATGCATCAGTTTGGTTACCAATTTTCAAATACAAAATTACTACAATTATTCTAATTCGTAATAAGTTATATAAATTCTAATTATAAAAAACTGAAACCTAATGTAAGAAAAAAATTAATTTTCTCAAATTTAAAAAGTACAGAAATCAATAATTACTTTGATTTAAAATTTAAAATTTTTTTTAAATTGACGACAAATTATCACTAATAGACTGAAATTATATACTACACACATTTGCTGTGTATATATTTTTTTCAAATGAATTATTTTTCTTTTTTTACTGCATAATACTTACTGTGTCTTGTTTAAAATATATTCCATTGTTGTATTTCGTAGCCAAGACCTTGTAACAATAATATTAAAATAGTCGTTTAAGAAGCTGTATTTTAAAAAAAGCAAAAGAGAGAGAGAGAAAGAGAGAGAAAAAATATCGCAACACTAACAACAAAACCCAATACTGAAAAATACCGGAAGTTTGCATATCGCAAAATCTGCATGCACAAGTTGGCGGACAGCCAAGTTCAAGAACTTTAATGAGGTGCCTAGAACAATATACAATATACAGATATATATAGATACAATTCACGGAAAAATTTCCAATATCAAATAACCATAATAAGAAACATGAGCCTCATACTGTTACACGAAACTGGATTCATTTTCAGTAATTACATTTAATTATTATATAAAGAGCAACTTTGATTTGATGTAGAATTTATATTCTATACTCTATAATCTATAATTCAGCAAAACATGCCTTATTGGCGTGTAGAAAATTGAAAGAAAGAAAGTTTTCCATTTTTACAATATTTGTCTGACTAAAATTCTTTTTTACTACTGAAATTTTTACACTTATTACTATTAAAAAGCTAAAAGATATTTTAAGAACATATGTCTGACTAAATTGGTCTTTTACTACTTAAGTTTTAGTCACTTTCCTATTAAAAAGTTATGAATTATTTTGATAATAATTGTCTTACTAAAATTGTCTGTTACTACTGAAATTATAGTCTTACTACAGTTATCAAGATGAAAACTATTTTAAAAATGATTATCAGACTAAAATGGACTAATCCTACTGAAATTTTTACTCTCTTTACTATTAAAAAGTTTAGAATAATTTTGACACTAATTGGCTGACTAAAATTGTCTTTTACTACTAAAGTTTTAGTTATTTTCCTATTAAAAAGTTAATAATTATTTTGATAATAATTGCCTGACTAAAATTGACTTTTACTACTAAAATTTTTACTCTCTTTACTTTTAAAAAGTTTATAATTATTTTCCCAATAATTGTCTGACTAAAATTTTCTTGTACTACTGAAACTATTTTGACAATGATTATCCGACTAAAAGTGACTTTTACTACTGAAATTTTGACTCCCTTTACTTTTAAAGAGTTTGGAATAATTTTGCCAAAAATTGTCTGTCTAAAATTGTCTTTTACTACTGAATTTTTGAGTGATTTTATTATTAGAAAGCTAAGAACTATTTTTTAATAAAAGTCTGACTAACAATTGGCTTTTACTACTGAAATTTTTACTCTTTTTACTTTTAAAAAGTTTAGAATAATTTGGACAATAATTGTCTGACTAAAATTGTCTTTTACTACTAAAGTTTTTGTCATTTTCTTGGTTTTAAGTCATTTTCCTATTGAAAAGTTAAAAATTATTTTAAAAATAATTATCTGACTACAATTGACTTTTTCTACTTAACTTTTTACTTTTTTTACTTTTAAAAAGTCTATAAATATTTTGACAATAATTGTCTGACTAAAATTTACTTTTTTTACTGAAATTTTTTCTCTTTTTACTTTTAAAAAGTTTATATTTATCTTCTTAATGATTGTCTGACTAAAACTGACTTTTACTACTGAAATTTTTATTTTTTGAACTTTTTAAATGTTTACAATTATTTTGACAATAATTGTCTGCCTAAAATTGTCTTTTACTACTAAAGTTTTAGTCATTTCCTTAGTTTTTAGTCATTTTTCTATTCAAAAGTTTAAAATTATTTTGATAATAATATTGCCTGACTAAAATTGACTTTCTCTACTTAACTTTCTACATTCTTTACTTTTAAAAAGTATAGAATTATTTTGACAATAATTGTCTGACTAAAATTTACTTTTTATACTGAAATTTTTACTTTCTTTACTTTCAAAAAGTATAAAAATATTTTGACAATAATTGTCTGACTAAAATTGACTTTTACTACTGAAATTTGTACTCTCTTCACTTTTAAAAAGTTTATGTTCATATTCCTAATAATTGTCTGACTAAAATTTTCTTGTACTACTAAAACTTTTATTTTTTTTTACTTTTAAAATGTTTAGAATTATTTTGACAATAATTGGCTGGTGAATAATTGTCTCTTACTACTGAAGTTTTTAGTCACTTTACTACTAAAAAGTAAAAAACAATTTATCCAGACTCAAATTGACCTTTACTACTTAAATTTTACTCTTTTGTCTTTTTACGTTAAAGTAGTTAAGAATTAATTTACCAATAATTACCTGATTAAAATTGCCGTTTTCTATTCTTAGTCTCTTTACTATTAAAAAGATACGAACTATTTTGAAATTAAATGTCTGACTACAATTGTGTTTTGCTACTGAATTTATAATTATACGTAATCTTTTCTGTATTAAAAATTATTTGAGAAATTTACTAATTCTAAAAATTACTTGCTCTGATATAAAAAATTTTGTTATCAACATAAATAAATACTAAATGATTAATTATGATTATAAACAAAAACTGATAAATTAAGATTATAAGTACATGAATGCAAATATGTTCCTCATGTAAAAAAGGTATTAAAAGAGTGTCGATTTTACATGTTTGAAAAGCAGCCTTTTAAAAATAAATATGACCTCAACGCCTACAGGGTATACATTTAATGTTGAGAGATTTCAAAGATTTTATTATATTTTGTGAACATGTGCTTTTGATATGAGCACTTTAAATATGGCTGGTGTGTGTGTACGTAAAACTGTCGTTTATGAGGGTGACTATTTTGCATCGTTGGTCAAACATAAATGCATATATATATAGCCATAACAACCAACCACGTTTATTTTCCCACTCTATTTTTACAATTGCGGTTAATTTTAGAAAACATGAAATTCAAAATTTACACATACGATAATTTGATTATTACTCTAATTATAAATAATATTAGGAATTAGGCAAGTTAAAAATATTACGATTACAGTTAAAATATTCCAGTTATTAATAATAATAACAATAATAATGATAATATTAATAATGATAATAACAATAAAATCAATAATAATAATAATAATAATGTAAGAATAATTATTTAATTAGTAAAAGTTTTACAATAATTTATAGATAATAGTTTTTTAGGGTAACATGATAATATGACTCCATACTCAATAAAGGGTTTTGTCTCGCACGTAATGACGTGTGTCTGACTAAAAACATCTTTTTCCACTTAGTGAAAAAGAAAGTGTTAATTAATTTTTTATTACAGTTAAATTTTATTTTTATTTGTTTTCTATACACTCACTGGATTTCAAACTATTTCAGTCTGACTGAAAATGGCCTTTTTCACTTAATAGAAAAAAAAAGCTTTTCTGCATGAAGAATTGGATAAACGGCTCGTCAATTTATTGTAGCAATTTTAAAATAAAATTTTTTTAATAAAAAATAAATTTCCAGCAATTTGTGGAGGAAAGTGGTGATTTTTCATTACAGAAACCATTGAAAGAGTTGAGTCGACTCTGCCTTGGTGCGAACAATAGTCAAAATAACGTGGTAACAACCAGCGTTTGCACTGAGACGCGTGTTGGCTTACCTCTTCTTCAAGTATGGCCAAGCGACTCGCCAAGAGGAGAAGGAGATGGTCAATCTCAGGCTTTCATATTTCCAGATGTTCAGGAAAATGTCAACGACAGTGGCATCGAATCCATTCAGGTACTGGAAAATCCAAATCTACTTTCAATTCTATTAATTTTTTCATTCAAAATTGGCTGGACAATAGAAATTTAAGTTGAGTGGGAAGATAATGACAGTTTTTTATTTTTTACGCTATAAAATCGAAATTTTCAAAATCTTCTAATATTAGTTAAATTTGGCAATATAAATTTAATTAATTATTAAAAATAATGGATTTATAAAAGAATTTTAGTTAAAATCACTAAAAAAATTGAATTTTGAAGAAGTTACAAATGATTGCAGAAATTCAATTATTTTCAAAAGTAATAAAATTCTTATCACAAAGTTCATTTCTGTTCAAAATTTACAAAAAAAAAATCTTGACAAAATACCAATTATTTTTATAATTTTTTTTATCTATAAAGATAATAATCTTTATAGATAAAAAAAAATTCCTTTTCAAAATTCAATTATTTTCAAAAATTTTAATAAAATTCTTTTCAAAATTTCAATTATTTTCATAAATTTTCCTCAATTCAATGATTTTCATTATTTAGTATGTTAACAAAATTACCCAAAAAAATTCAATTATTTTAAAACAATTTTAATAAAATTGTACGCAAACATTTCATTATTTTTAGAAATAATAAAATATTTAACATGGATTTAAATATTTTTCTAAATAATAAAATCTTTTTAGGAATTTAATTATTTTCAGAAATAATAAAATTCATCGCAGAATTTCAATTATTTTTAATACAATTTTAATGGAATTCCACAAAAAAATTCTAAAAATTTTCACTAAAATTCGTCAAAAGAATTCAATTATTTAAAAATTTGTCGATAAAATTCTTTATGACAAGTCACTTTTAAGAAACATTCAATTATTCCATAATTGTATGCAATTAAAATACAAATACTTTTGTATTTAAATAATATTGGATTTTCGTAGAATTTTCTAATAAGAAGTGATCTGAAAATGAATTTTAGTTTAAATTTCAGATAATAATAAAATATAAACTTGATCCTCTTTAATTATTATAAAACATGATGAACTCGATCACTCCGAGACTTTTTATCACAAAATTCAATTTTGTTCAAAATTTAAAAAAAAATCTCGACAAAATTCCAATTATTATCTTTATAAATAAAAAAATTCTCCTTCAAAATTCAATTATTTTTAAAAATTTTCCTCATTTCAACGATTTTTAATATCTACTATTTTAATAAAATTGCCCAAAAAAATTTAATTATTTAAAAACAATTTTAATAAAATTTTAATCGAATTTCTCCATAAATGTAATTATTATTAAAAATTTTATTTCAAGAGCAATAAAATCCTTCGCAGAAATTAATTATCAATTAATTAATTTATAATTATTTAATAATTAATTATTTTATAATTAATTAATAATAATTAATTAAAAAATTAATTATGTTAAAAAATAAAAAAATTCTTCTTAGGAATTCAATTATTTTCAGAAATAATATAACTCATCGCAGAATTTTAATTATTCTTAATACAATTTTAAACAAATTAATTGAAAAATTTAATTAATTTAATTTAATTTAATTGAACTATTTCTAAAAAAATTTTATTAACATTAGTCAAAAGAATTCAATTATTTAAAAATTTGTTAATAAAATTCTTTATAAGAATTAAATTTTAAGAAAGATTTACATTTAATTATTCAATAAATAATTTACTTTTGTATTTAGATAATTGAATTCTCGTAGAATTTTCTGATAACAATTGTTTTGAAAATGAAGTTTAGTTTAAATTTTAGATAATAATAGAATTTGAACTCGATCGTCTTTAATTATTATAAAACATAAAGATAATGATTGCTCCGAGTCGAAGACTCGGAGTGATCGTTATCTTTGTGTTTTATAACAAGATATTTTTAAAGTTGATTAATTTCAAAAAGATTTGAATTTGCAATTTTTGAAAATCCTAATTCCTGTGGAAAAATAATAATAATTAAATATTAAAAATACTTAAAAAAGAAATTATTGTCTTCAAATAATTTTACAATTAAAGATATTAGTAAATAAAATTAACAGAATATTGTTTTCAATAAAATTTTTTCCTTTATTTTCTAAAAATTCAAGAATTTTTAGTTTTATTTTTAATTAAATTTTCGAATTGACAAATATAATTTATAAACAATTATTTCCTTTATTTTTAAAAAACTTTGAATTTTATTGAAACAATTAAAATTAAGAAATAGAATTGATGAAAATTATTTCCTGTTGAAAATTGAGAATTTTCTTAAAAAATATTAGGAAACAGAAATATCTAATGTTTTTCTTCCCAAAAGAAAAAAATGAGTTTGTAAACAATATTGTTATTGAGAAATGAAAATTATTCATAAAATGGGTATATTTCCTACTTCCTAATAAAAATTGTTCAACAATTAACAATTTTCTAGTATTTTTTCTTTAAATAAAAAGGAGAATAATAATTTTTTAATTTTTAATTAATTAAGAATTTTTTTTTTAATCTTCTTATGTAAATGGTTTTAGTCAAAAGTGAACTGAAAGTAAGATTTATTTTTTACAGCGTTGAGATGGTAATAAATATGTAAATTATATTTAACTAATGTTAATTTTTTTAAACAACGGAATTAATATATTTTTATAAAAAAAACAGCAGTTCTGATACACGAAAAAATAACTAGAGTTTTTACATGAGACTCAAGGCAACTGAGAAAATGTTTGCGTGAAAAATAAAATTTTCAACACTTTTCACTTCCTAAATAGAATATCTAAAGAAGAAAAGTGCAATTCTCTTTGTCCACGTTTTTGAGACTTTGAATTCTTCTTTTTGAGAGAGAGAAAGAGAGATATTAAACATTCAAAAGCACTCGTTTTTTATCTCCAGGGAAAATGTAAAAATAGACCTGAAAATACAATAATTCGAAAATCAAAAGTGTTATTTTTTAAATCAATTTTAGAGTTTAGAAAAGTTAGAACAATTAGTTTGAAAATTTGTGAAAAAACAGGAAAATTAAAATTTGGTCAGAGATAAGTCGGAAAATTTTGTTTTTTGTAAACTTTTTTTTTTTGCATTTATACGTATTAAAAAAAATGTTTTGCTTGGAAAAAAATAGGCCTCGCCATCGCCGTGTGGTGTGACGTGTGTGAGTCCAGCAACCACCCCGCAGCAATCACGAAGACCGAGTCTCCTTCATCCGGATCATGCACGACTGCATTCGCATCATTCGCATCACAATCATCATAACAGTGGATTGAAGAATTCGCCATCGCCCGATAGACATTTCATCGATGAAGACGTACAGCCAGTGCCGCCAAGTCCATCCAGTTCAACTACAAGTAGTCTTCGCTCGATGCCAAGTTCAGCAATGTGCTCCGCTTCTATGCATTCTGCCGATAGGAGACGTAGCAGTAGGTCTGTTTTTCTTCCTTTTTTTTATTTATATAGATGAATGTAATTGTAGAAAAATGCTTTATTAGCGGGAAAGAAAGAAAAAAGAAAAAAAGAAAGAAAGGAAAAAAGGGAATTTTTACCGTTGACGAATTTGTCTGACTGGTACTGGTTTTTACTACTTGAGATTTTATATTCTTTAGTTGTTAAAGGGATAATAAATATTTTAAAGATAACTGACTGACTAGCATTGTTTTTACTACTGGACTTTTTAGACTCTAAACTGTTCAAGTTTAGAACTATTTTGACAATAATCGTCTGACTAATATTAACTTTTACTACTGAAATTTTTACAGGGTTGCCACAGGTCAGGGAAGTCGCATAAATTCAATTATGTTCAGAAATTAAAAAAAATTTCGTCAAAATTTCAATTATCTATATAAATAGTAAAATTCTTCTCCGAAATTCAATTATTTTCAAAAAATTTAATAAAATTCTTGTCAAAATTTCGAATCAATTATTTTTAAAAAATTTCCTCATTTCAATTATTTTTATTATCTAATATTTTTATTAAATTTTTCAAAAGAATTCATTTAAAAATTATAATAAAAATTTAACAGGAATTCAATTACTTACCAATTTTTTTATAAATGTCTTCGTACCAATTCAATTATTTGAAATTTTTTTAAAGAAGTTTCTCAAAAGAATTCAAATATATTAAGAGATTTGAAACAAATAGTTTTTACAAATTTAGTTATTTCGCAAAATTTCAAATAAAACAATTCTTCTTAAGAAATCAATTATTTTCTCAAATAATACATTTTTTATGGGAATTCAATTATTCAAAAAAATTTGAATAAAATTCTTCTCAAGAAATCAATTATTTTCATAAATAATAAAATATTTCTCGAGGAATCAATTATTTAAAAAAATTTTGATAAAATGCTTTATAAATTTGAAAAAATTATAATAAAACTGATCATTAAATACAATTATTTACGTAAAATATAACATTCTTCCTAAGAATACAATTATTGTCAAAAATGTTTGTAAAAATCTTCAAAACAATATTCAATTATTTTCGTAAAAAATAAAATTCTTCTAAACAATTCAATTATTTAAAAAATTTAAATAAAATTCTTCCCAAGAATTCATCATTCTTTTCAAAAATAAACATTTTTAGAGAAATTCAATTATTTTAAAAAAATTTAATAAAATTCTTCGTCAGATTTCAATTATTTTCATAAATATCAATACCTTATCGCAGAATTTCAATTATTTTTTATACAATTTTAAATAAAGTGATAGAAAACTGCATTTATTCTTAAAATTTTTTTTAAAATTCGACGAAAAAATTTAATTATTTTTAAAAATTTTGATGAAATTTTTGGCAAAATTTCAATATTAAGAAATATTTAATTATTTAATAAATTATTTATTTTTGTATTTAAATAATTGAATTTTTGAAAAATTTTCTAATAAAAAGTGATTTAAAAATTAATTTCATTAAAAATTATAAAGTATAATTGAATATTAAAAGCATTGTAGCGTGAATTTTTAGAAATAATTGAATTCAGAATTTTTTTGAAAATGCTGTCTGACCGAAATTGTCTTTACTACTTAAGTTTTTAGTCACATTACTATTGGCAAGATAAGAAATATTTTGACAATAATTGCCTGACTAAAATAGTATTTTCCTACTGAACTTTTTATACTCTAAACTGTTATAAGTTGGAACTATTTTGACAATAATTGTCTGACTATAGTTGTTTTTTACTACTTAAGTTTTCAGTCATATTACTATTAAAATGATGAGAAATATTTTAACAAAAAGTGTCTGACTAAAATTATTTTTTTTACTGAAATTTTTAGTCAATTTACTATTATCAAGATAAGAATTATTTTGACAACATTTGTCTGACTAACATTGACTGTTACTACTGTAATTTTTACTCTTTTTACTTTAAAAAAATTTAGAACTCTTTTGACAATAATTGTCTGACTAAAATTGTTTATAATACTGAAGTTTTTAGTCGGTTTACTATTAACAAGAGAAAAACTATTTTGACAATGATTGTCTGACTAAAATACTATTTTACTACTGAACTTTTTATGCTCTAAACTGTTAAAGTTTAGAAATATTTTGACAATAATTGTCTGACTAAAATTGTTTTTTACTACTGAAAATTTTTAGTCATTTCACTATTAAAATTATAAAAACTATTTTCACAATAAATGTGCGATTGCAATTATTTCACTTCACTACTGTTTTAGTACTTTACTAAAATTGTTTTTTTTTCTACTGGTAAAAAAAATAATTTTTAGAACTCGTTATGTCTGACTAAAACTTTGCTTTACTACTTTTGCTTACCATTAACCAATAAAATCACTAACAATAAAAATTATGCATGTTTAAATTTTCTGTTATAATTATTAATATAATTCTTTTTATGAGTGAATTTTATTTTATTTATTTTTATACGAATTATTAAGTACATAAATTTTTTGAATTCATTACTTCATTAAATTCCCTATACACTTTTTACCAGCAATTAAAAAAGAAATTTGCAAAATAGAATAACATAAAATTCAATTACTCTCCTCCTAAAAGAACTGAGTAATTGAAAAAACGAGAGAAAAAAAAATTACAAATCGATGATGTACTAAAAGAGATGAGATAAAAAATTCATCGCCAATGTTAAATCGCACCTTAATTCCCTCACTCTCACGTAATAATAAATTCATCAAAAGCAAAATACGTCACCTATCAATGTTAATTATAATTTATAACAATACAATATGTGTAAAATTTACTTTATTCTGCTGAAATTAAATAAAAATTGAAAATTACAAACGAAAATAATTAAAAATAACAGTAATAAAAAATGAAAAATATAAAAATTGGAAAAAAATTGAAATAAAAAATTAAAATAATAAAATGAAAGAAATACAAAATACTACAGTAAAACAAAATAAAAAATGAATGGGAAAATAATTAAAAACATGGAATGAACATTAAAATTTCAGATACAGTATGTCCGATGCAACGAACATGAAATACGCACAATAATTATTCAACTAAAATTGTTTTTTACTACTAAAGTTTTCAGACTTTTACTACTGAAATTTTTACTCTCTTTACTTTTATAAAATTTAGAATTATTTTAACAATATTTGTCTGACTAAAATGGACATTTACTACTGAAATTTCTTCTCTTTTTACTTTTAAAAAAATTTAGAATTCTTTTGACAATATTTGTCTTACTGAAATTTACTTTAACTACTGAAAATTTTTACTCTTCTTACTTTTAAAACTTTTTGTACTTTAAAGTTTTAAACTGTTAAACTTTAGAATTTAAATTAAAATATTTTCAAAAATTTTAATCAAATTCTTGTCAAAATTTCAATTATTTTCATTTTTCAAAAATTTTCCTTCTTTCAATGATTTTCAATATCTACTATTTTAATAAAATTACCCAAAAGAATTTAATTATTTAAAATTCATTTTAATTAAATTGTTAAATATTTTCATAAATAATCAAAATTTCACAGGAATTCAAATATTCACAAATTTTTTATATTTCTTCTTAATAATTCAATTATTTTCAGAAATAATAAAACTCATCGCAGAATCTCAATTATTTTTAATAAAATTTTAATCAAATTCCTTGAAAAATGTAACTATTCTAAAAAATTTTATTAAAATTCATCAAAAAAATTCAATTATTTAAAAATTTGGTAATAAAATTCTTTATAAGAATTAAATTTCAAAAAACATTCAATTATTCAATAAATAATTTACTTTTGTAGGTGAATAAAATTGAATTCTCGTAGAATTTTCTAATAAAAATTGATTTGAAAATGAATTTTAGTTTAATTTTTAGAATAATTTTACAATTAATGTTATTCGTAAATAAATTTAACAGAACATTTTTTTCAATAAAATTTTTTGCTTTATTTTCTAAAAATTCAAAAACTTTCAGTTTCATTTTCAATTACATTTTCTAATGGACAAATATAATGTATAAACATTTTTTTCCTTTATTTTTAAAAAACTTTTAATTCTATTAAAAAAAATTAAAATTAAGAAATAGTATTAAATAAAATTAAATAGAATGATGCAAATTAGTTCCTTATGAAAATTGAGAATTTTCTTAAAAAATATTAAGAAAAGGGAATATCTAATGTTTTTCTTCCCAAAAGTAAAAAATTAGTTTGTAAACATTATTGTTATTGAGAAATAAAAATTGTGCATAAAATGGGTATATTTCCTACTTCATAATAAAAATTTTTCAACAATTAACAATTTTCTAGTATTTTTTATAAATAAAAAGGAAAATTATTTGCATAATACTTTAGATTAGTCAAACGAAATATTTGTTATAGAAAAAAGCGTATAATATATAGTGAATAATTGAGAACTATTTTAACAAAATAATCAATGTTTGTCTAATAAACAATTTAACAAAAAATAAATGCAAAATAATGAAGTAAAACAAAATAAAAAAAAATATTCAAAAAAATGAAAACCTAAATTGAAAAAATAGTAAAAAGTAAATTGGAAAATAATTTTTAAAAAAATGAAATGAACGTTAAAATTTCAGGTACAGTATGTTCGATGCATTGGACCTGGAATACGCACTATTACGCGCAGCGGCGCGTGGTTCAGTTGGACCATATTCTTTGTCCGAGTCCTTGCACAAGTTGACCTTCACCCAGAGTCTGGCGTTCCCAGCTTTAGCTCGCGGTCTAGCCTCGAAGCAGAGCGTCCCATCCAGGAGACCTCAGCAGCACGTTGAAAGTGGAATGAACGCATTTGCTAAAGTGGTCACTGCATTAGTATTAATGCTCGTCAGTGTTCTTGTGTTTGGTGTCGTTTACAAATTCGTGAGGACGTGAGGTTTACTGCTGGTGCCCGAGAGAATTCAAAATCCCACATCGGACCTACAAAAGTCCGATGTCCTCACATCGGGCACCAGCGATTGAATCGACAAAAATTAGAATTAAGAAAAAAAACTCTAAAATTCATTTTTCATTAATACGATATTGTGTATTTTCAAAGGGTTGTTTTCCTGAAACAATTTATTCTTTTTATTATTATTATTATTACTAGCTTTTTTGCCCTCCCTCAGCGGGCTCGAAATCTATTATGTTATTATTATTATAAATATTTTTTTGTTTGTTTGTTTATTATAACAACTGTTATTATTATTACTATTAATTATTATATTTATTATTATTATTATTATTAATATTATTATTATTTGTATTGTTATTATTATTATTATTATTAATATTTGTAATATCATTATTGTTTACCATTATTTTTTATTTTACTCTATTTATACTGAAAAAAAATTTATTTGATTCAAATAATTGATTACTTGTTTATCATGAAAATAAATAAATACTTGAGTCAAATAAATTTTTTTGAAGTGTACACTCTTCTTTGAAATATTTACTTTTACTATGTGATATTGTATTTTGAATAATATAATTTTTTTTACAGATTTTCAGACTTTTTTTGCAGTAATTTAATTTTGTTTCAAATGTTTATTCACAAATTCTGACATTTCTTTCTTATACCTAGTATATTTTTCTTTCACTTAAGAGCTTTTTCTAGAAGAAGCCTTCTGAATAAAATTTCTTTGAATTCTATAATTGCTATTCAAATTGAAATTATATTTTTTCTTTCTTACGCAGGTACAAAAAAAAGTGATTTATTTATTTAAAGGTTTCATTGTCATTTAGGTAGAAAGAAATTTTTTCTAATGCAAATTTACATAAGTTTTTAAATTATTAATGATTTTTTTACAAATGGTTATTATTTATTATTCTTTTGATTAATATTATTAATATTATTGCTATTATTATTATTATTATTATTATTATTATTATTAATTTATTCTTATTATTATTACTATATTAAAAAAATATTGTAATAAATATTGATACGAGTTATTGAACAAAAAAATAATTTTCAAATGGAATTTAATTTCTAAAAATTTTTTCTATTTCTAGAGGAAAATTGGTCATATGCTAATAAGATTTTTGCGTCTTTTTTTTTTAATCAGCAAACAAAGATCAATGTCGCAAACCAACTGGAAATTGTATTTATAATTATTTTTCACACTAAATAATCGATAACTAATTATTCCGTCTCATGAGAGAGAATTAATTTTCATTATCAAAAGCAATTAAAAATAACTCAGTTAATTTAAGAAATCGATTCTTGATTTTCTATTTTTATAGTTATTATTATTTCCGTTATTAATTATTTATATAAGTATTATTATTTTTACCATTAATATTTTTATATTAATATATTAATAAATTTTTAATAATGCTAACATTCAAAGAGTAATATCAATTAATTTTTGATGAAAATTAATTTTTAAGACTGTTTGTTTGTGAAATTGATCATTATAAATAAAAATGTAAACAACAATATTTTAAGATTTCTGCCAAGCTGTGCCTTGGATAAAAATTTCAGTTTTTAAAAATTTTATTTCAATTTTACTTTTCTTTTATTTTATTTTACACAATTGATAGAGATAAGATAACAAATTTTTCTATGTCAGTGCGATAAGTGAATAATTACTGTCAAAATAGAGGAGAAATATTTTATATTTTCAAAAAATTTTACAAAAAAGAAAAAAATGATATGAGAGATTAAAAAAAATTTTAGATCCAATAAAATCTTTTGTGATTATATAGAAAAATTGAAAAATGGTTGTTAAAAGAGAGAAAATATTTCCTTTGTTATTACTACTGCACAAAAAAAACAGAGAGTTCACATGAAAAGATGTAATGATAGAGTTTGAATTCAATTTTTCTGATGAATTTTTTTTAGTAATATCAGCAATAATTCAATGTGTTTCTCATTTTAACTTTAATATCGACAATTGAATTAATTTTTTTTCACATCTTTTTTTCTTTTTAATTTGTTAGCTTTTATTTCAAAGTCTGTTATCTCCTGAATATTTTTTGTAATATTCTTTGTAATTAAATAAATAAACAATTTTTGGTTTTTCGGTAATTTTAGTTAAATATTAAACATTCGAATCTATCTAATAAACTGAGAATAGAAATACATTTATTTTGTAATTTTATATAGAACTTTTTATTATTTTTTCTATTTTAATTTATATAGAAATTTTAATATTGAAAATCATTTGAAAACAGGAATAAAATATTCTAACTTTTTTCATAAATTGTTGAATTTCTTTATTTTTCCTAGATCGTATAATAAGAAAATCGACAATCAAAAATTAAGGGGATGTTTTTAATAAATGATGGTAATTATAATAATTATTGTAACAGTGTAATGGTACGAAATAAAAAAAATTGAAGTGAGGAAAACGTATGTGAAGTAATGTGTGTCTTCTGAATCTATCTTCATGAATCAATGTTACTTCTCTGTCGCATTATCCGATTTTTTTTATTAAAAAAGTTAATTTTCAAAACATTTAAAAAAAATTAATAATAAAATTAAAAATTTAATGAAAACTTCCGGTAAAGTTAATTTCAATTTTAACTTTTATTAGAAAATAAAAATTAATAATTTTATTCTTTTATATAAATTTCCCCAAAAAATGAAATTAGAAATTGAGGCCAAAATAATGCCTCAGAGAAATAGTGAATATCAAGTTCAGATTTCGAAAAATGTGTGTAAATGAATGTTGTCAATTTTTATCAATTCGTAACGAATTCTTATTATTAAGAATATAATGAATTAACAATTATCATATAAAACAGACGTACAACAATATCTATACAATGAATATTTATTCTTAATCTCAAACAAAATACCATATTATTAGTAAAATTATTTATAAAACAAAAAAAATGTACATATAAAGAAAAGAAAATTTTACTTGACAAAAAAAAATAATAATAATCTTTCTACTAAAATATATTTCTATGTGCCAGCTTTGGCTTAAATCCAATTTCGCAGAAAAAAAAATCTTTGCAGTCCTATATATAAATTTTCAAAAAATCAAAATTCTCAAAAATTTCTATTCATTTCTCAGAAAAACGTTTATTTATATAAACGTTTATATATTTATTATATAATATACATGTAATATACCTTATTCAACTGAAAGTAAAAAAAACTTCTCTAAAAATGTAAAAAAAAAATATTTTACAAAAAAAATTATATTTTTCCATCTCTCAGTTTATTGTGTACGATTTTGTTTGCAAAAAAAGAAAACTAATTGTATTTACTATACAAATAACGAAACGTTTCAATATATTAAAATGTAGATAATGAAAATTCCATCTTTAATGAAAATTAATCTACGTGAACATTTGTCATTTTAAATCCGAAAATCTAGTGACGTGCCAGTCAAAAAGTGGCCACTCGAATAGTAGCAAAGCTCAAAAAAAAAATAAAAAAATTTTATTCATTTAATTATATATTATATATATTTATGATAAAATTCTAGTCCAGTAAAAAATTTTTGCTAATTATCGAAAGAAAATAAAATACAATTCATTGAATTACAAAAGAAAAAAGTCAAATTTTATTTTGTCAGCTGTTTTTAAATAAATGTATAATCGCAAATTATATATTGGAAAGAAAATAAATTATTTTCATGCTAAATCAGATTTTGTATTTCTTGTATACTTGTGTATTTTTTTCTTTTTCAGAAGGAAGCTTTCATATTATTGTCAACAGTATGGATAATCGATATTTAACTGTTCGATAATTTGCATGTCTGACTAAAACTGTTTTTACTACTGAAATTTACTTGCTATTTTTAAAATTTTTAGGTTTGTGAATTCTTATTCTAGGTAAAAAAATAAGTAAATTTTACGCTTTCTTTACTAATGGTTCGAAAATTTTAATATTTTCGAAATTTCATCCCTGACTAAAACTGCTTTTACCACTGAAACTGTATTTTATTTGTCAATAAAATTGCACTGTTTTGTGTATTTTCTGCCTGGCTTTAACTCTATTTTACTACTGATATTAAATAATAATAAATATTTACGACTAATATTTATGACAATTCTTGTCTGACACGAACTGTGTTTTACTCTATAATTTTTCCCCATGATTTACTCCTAAAAAAATTTTAAATTTAGGAATTATTTTGTCTGACTTAAACTGATTTTATCACTAAAAGTATATTTTATTTGACAATAAAATTGTAAACTTTGTGTATTCTCTGTCTGACTTTAACTCTATTTTACTACTGAAGCTATAGAAATAACAATAAATTCTTAGAACTTATATTCACAAGACCTTCCTTTACCACTAATGCAAAAATTGAAAAACCTCAATATTTTGTCTGATTTAAAATGATTTTACCACTAAAATTAACATTAATTATCCTTAATAATAAATTAAAAGAATTGATTTGAAATTTTCCGGCATTATAAAAGAATTTATATATTTTTTGTCTTAAAAAAAAATATTTTACTACTGAAACTGTTGCTTACCGTTAACTAACAAATAACAAAAATTTCATAATATTTTGTCTGACTTATTATATTTATTTTTATTAATTAATTTATTAATTACTAATAACAAAATTATATAACATAAATTATAAAAGAAAAAATTTTTGTTTGACTACAGCTGATGCTACTACTGAAACTGTCCTCCATTACTCGCACATAAGAAAGTTAAAAATAGTTTTTTTGTCTGATTAACAATGACATTTACTACTGGTACCAAAATTTTAATATTCACGACAAACACAGTCTGTCCTAAACGGTTTTACCTACTGATACTTTACTTTTTATTCAGAATTTTTGTTTCAGTGATTACTAAGAACAAAAAGTATGAATTTTAAAAAATTATTATTAAGAAAATTACTCAGTCTAATAATATTTTTGATAAATATAGTTATATTTTACCCATGAGTTAAAAACTAAAATGATTCCTATACCTGCAGTTTGACCCAAACTGTATATTTTACTACTGAAACCTTTTTGAATAAATGATTAATTTTATTGAAAAAATTTTCAATTGTCACCTTTTAAAAAGCAATAACCCCTCTTTAATTTGTGACCAAGAAATAGAAATTTGGTCTAAAATTGTTCAAGTTATGAATTTTTTTTCGATTTATTTTCCAATTTTCGTTTTTCTGATATCGGCGAGTGGGGACACTGGCTATCAAAATTTTTTTTAAAAAATTCTTATTGGTCCAATGAATAGAAGCATTAATTCCTCTTAAATTTGCGACCAAGAAATAGAAAATTCGTCTAAAACTATTCGAGTTATGAATTTTTTTTAGATTTTTTTCCAATTTTCCTTTTTCTGCTACGGGCGGGTGGGGACGCTGGCTATCAAAAATTTTTTTTAAAAATTCTTATTGGTCCAATAAAAAGAAGCATTAATCCCTTTTTAATTTGCGACCAAGAAACAAAAATTTAGTCTAAAATTGTTCGACTTATAAATTTTTTTCGATTTTTTTCCAGTTTTCGTTTTTCTGATACGGGCGGGTGGGGACGCTGGCTATCAAAAATTTTTCTAAAAAATTCTTATTGGTCCAATAGAAAGAAGCAATAATCCCTCTTTAATTTGCGACCAAGAAACATAAATTTGGTCCAAAATTGTTCGACTTATGAATTTTTTTTCGATTTTTTTCCAATTTTCGTTTTTCTGATACGGGCGGGTGGGGACGCTGGCTATCAAAATTTTTTTTAAAAAATTCTTATTGGTCTAATAAAAAAAAGCATTGATCGTTCTTTAATTTGCGACCAAGAAACAAAAATTTGGTCCAAAATTGTTCGACTTATAAATTTTTTTCGATTTTTTCCCAGTTTTCGTTTTTCTGATACGGGCGGGTGGGGACGCTGGCTATCAAAAATTTTTCTAAAAAATTCTTATTGGTCCAATAGAAAAAAGCATTAATCCCTTTTTAATTTGCGACCAAGAAACAAAAATTTAGTCTAAAATTGTTCGACTTATAAATTTTTTTCGATTTTTTTCCAGTTTTCGTTTTTCTGATACGGGCGGGTGGGGACGCTGGCTATCAAAAATTTTTCTAAAAAATTCTTATTGGTCCAATAGAAAGAAGCAATAATCCCTCTTTAATTTGCGACCAAGAAACATAAATTTGGTCCAAAATTGTTCGACTTATGAATTTTTTTTCGATTTTTTTCCAATTTTCGTTTTTCTGATACGGGCGGGTGGGGACGCTGGCTATCAAAAATTTTTTTAAAAAATTCTTATTGGTCTAATAAAAAGAAGCATTGATCGTTCTTTAATTTGCGACCAAGAAACAAAAATTTGGTCCAAAATTGTTCGACTTATAAATTTTTTTCGATTTTTTTCCAGTTTTCGTTTTTCTGATACGGGCGGGTGGGGACGCTGGCTATCAAAATTTTTTTAAAATAATTCTTATTGGCCCAATAAAAAGAAGCATTAATCCCTCTTTAATTTGCGAACAAGAAACAGAAAATTGGTCTAAAATTATTCGAGTTATGAATTTTTTTTCGATTTTTTTCCAATTTTCCTTTTTCTGCTACGGGCGGGTGGGGACGCTGGCTATCAAAATTTTTTTTTAAAAATTCTTATTGGTCCAATAAAAAGAAGCATTAATCCCTTTTTAATTTGCGACCAAGAAACAAAAATTTAGTCTAAAATTGTTCGACTTATAAATTTTTTTCGATTTTTTTCCAATTTTCGTTTTTCTGATACGGGCGGGTGGGGACACTGGCTATCAAAAATTTTTTTAAAAAATTCTTATTGGTCCAATGAATAGAAGCATTAATTCCTCTTAAATTTGCGACCAAGAAATAGAAAATTCGTCTAAAACTATTCGAGTTATGAATTTTTTTTAGATTTTTTTCCAATTTTCGTTTTTGTGATACGGGCGGGTGGGGACGCTGGCTATCAAAAATTTTTTTTTTAAATTCTTAATGGTCAAATGAAAAGAAGCAATAATGCCTCTTTAATTTGCGAACAAGAAACAGAAAATTGGTCTAAAATTATTCGAGTTATGAATTTTTTTTCCATTTTTTTCCAATTTTCCTTTTTCTGCTACGGGCGGGTGGGGACGCTGGCTATCAAAAATTTTTTTTAAAAATTCTTATTGGTCCAATAAAAAGAAGCATTAATCCCTTTTTAATTTGCGACCAAGAAACAAAAATTTAGTCTAAAATTGTTCGACTTATAAATTTTTTTCGATTTTTTTCCAGTTTTCGTTTTTCTGATACGGGCGGGTGGGGACGCTGGCTATCAAAAATTTTTTTAAAAAATTCTTATTGGTCCAATAAATAGAAACATTAATTCCTCTTTAATTTGCGACCAAGAAACAGAAAATTGGTCTAAAATTATTAAAGTTATGAATTTTTCTTCGATTTTTTTTCCAATTGTCGTTTTTCTGATACGGGCGGGTGGGGACGCTGGGTATCAAAATTTTCATTTTTAAATTCTTATTGGTCCAATAAAAAGAAGCATTAATCTCTCTTTGATTTGCGACGAAGAAACAAAAATTTGGTCCAAAATTTTTTTCTCATAAAAAATATATTATTTGTGAAAATAATTAAATTCTTTAGAAGAATTGTATTTAAATATTGAAAATAATTTAATTGTATAGGAAAATCTTATTAAAATTGCAATTTTATTAACTAAATCTTGAAAAGAATTTTGTTAAATTTTTTTAAAATAATAGAACTTTTAAAATAATTTTATTTAAATTTTTCGAAATAATTGAATTTCTCAGAACTATTTTTTTCCATTCTCTGAATATATTTAAATTCTTTGGAGAAAGCGAAGAAGTTTATCACTTCTGAAAATAATTGAGTTTCTTTAATCCGTTGTTATCTTAAAATTTCTATTTAAATTCATTTAAAATAATTGTGATACTTCCAGTCTGACTAAAACTGCACTTTACTACTGATACGAAAAGTAAAGTAATTAGTACGATTGTCTTGACTAAAATTGGTTTTCACCACTTATTTTTATTTTCGTTAAAAAAAATGTCAAAGGTAAGGATTCAATAAATAGAAAAGAGAACCTGAGTCAATTAATTTTCTCACATCGATGATGCATTTTTATTCGTTCGACGTGATATATTGGGGGTTTTTTTCATTTACCATTATCATTTTCATTTAAAGTTACATCATTTTTTCCATTCGAATTCATAAATTTCCTATACATATACATATAGTGCTAGGATATCTACAGTGATATTTTTTTCCCCATCTTTTCCCTTCTCTCCTTTACATTTATAATTTAATAGACTCTCTAATTCCTTTCATAACTATATAATTCACTTGTCCTTCATTCTTTTTAATATATTTTATTTTTATAATATATAGTATTATTATTATTATTATTTTCTGATCAGTGATCCATTTAATTATGTACACGACAGTTTTTTTCTTTTTTTTTCTTTTTTATTTCTAATTTACAAGATTTAATGTGCGTGAAATGTGTGTTGCGATGAGAGAGTGTAAAATTCGAGGAGGATTTTTCTTTTTTTTTTTTTTTTTTTGAAAAAACTTGTCATTTTGCACTTTCTTGAACTTTTCGCTATTTTGAAAAAATTCTTTTTTCTCGTTTGTTTCCGAAAGTCGCGCTATTTTTTTGCGCTTAGGCCGTTACTTTTTCTTGTTTGTTTTTAAGAGTTACTCTTTCCTCCTCCGTTTATATGTAGTTTGTGTTTTGCGCGACAAATATATATATTTATATTTTTTTTATTTTTTTACATATATTTATAGTAGGGTCTGTGATAACTTTGCACTCTTTTTTTGTAAAAAAATAAATTATTAGCGCCTTTGCGCGAAGTCTTAAATAATGGTACAGTTAGATTTTTTTTGCGTGGTTTCCCCCGCGAAAAATTGGAGCTAAAAGTACTCTAAAGCCTTTTTTCTTAGCTACCTTACCTTGCATCTTCCATATTTTTTTTTTTTTTTTGATTTTTTTAATTTGTTTTTTGTTTTACATAGTACCTGCTAATACATATCGTTACGCTACTCGCGACGAAGTTATCACAGACGTGAAAATGTTTCGTGGTCTCCTTCGTACGACTCTCCGCATCGAAAGTTTTATTGAAGACTCCGATATTTTTCTTTTATTGCGAATTTTCGAAAATGGGTTTCAAGATTTTCTTATCTTTGCAAAATTTTATTAATTAAAATTTTTTATTTTTCAACTTTAATTTTCTTTATTTTTTTATTTCATTTAATTTTTGTTCTATTTCTTTTAATTTTCCATTTCTTTTTGATAGCTTTTTAAAAATGCGATCAAAACTAGTCAAAATTGAATTTAAAATTTTTTTTTAAACTTATTTAACTATTTTTTGAAATTTCTTTTCGAACAAACGAAAATTTTAATCCTTTAAATAAATTTCTTTATGAAGAATTATTTTTTGAATTCGGATCAATCAAAATTCGAATATTTTTCTTATTCCTCAAACGAGTTTAAAATTTTGAAAATTAGAACAGAGATGATTTGAAATAAAGGAAAATACAATTAAGAAGTTTTTTTTTCTTTTGATTTTGAAAAAATAATTTGTAACAAAAATAAAAAATATTTTCTAGAATTTGACATTATTTCAAAAAATTGCAAAGACAAACATTTTTTTTAACTTTTAGTACTTTTTTGCATATTTATTATAACAAGTACTAAAAAAATCAAAAAATTTATAATGAAAATTAGAAAATTAAAGAATAAATACTCAAAATTAGAGAAGTAAAAAATAAATAAAATAAAGAATAAACGAAATGTAAAATAAAAAAAGAACGATAAATAAAATAAGAAAATTAAAATAAATGCTAAAAATTAATACTTAATACTCAGTATTTAATAATTAATAATTAATTAATAATTTTACTAAAAAATACTAAAAATTCCCCTTTGGAATTCTTTAAAAAATTTTCATTTTAATTTTTAGAGCGTTTTAATTTTGCAAATTTAAAAAACATCACGAAGCTCTTGTCGATTAATTTTTTTTTTTGAAAAGTTTATCGTTTTTTCCATCTTTTTTTGGAATTTAATTTAAAACACCTTCGTTGTGCTGAGACGACCTCACGTGAACACAATTAACAACAGTTGTAGTTTATATCGATAATACTCGCAGTTGTAACAGTATTAATAGTAATTGTGTGACAAAAAGCCAGTTGTCCAGACTCAAAAATTCTCAAAAAACATACAAGTTATTTTTTTCTACAACTTACTAATGCTGGAAGAAGTTGCCACAAGCTTTTGCAGAATATTTATTTGTAGAATTCTGGACAACCAGCGAAACACTACAATAATTATTCCTCCAATTTTTTTCACTACGAAAATTTTCACTTTAGAAAGAAAAGGTTTATCTTTTATTTTTCGTCAATTTTCTCATTATCGAAATTTTCTTTTCAGAACATTTTTTATTTTATTTTTTTTCTCTAATTTTCTCATCGAAATTTTCAATTAAAAAAATTTCTCCAATTTTCTCATTATCGAAAGTTTCTCTTGAAGAAAAAGAAATAAAAAATTTTTATTCTTCCATTTTGTGATGAATGCAATTTAATTAAATGCGAATGGAAAGTTTGAAAATAATATTAAATTTAGTTTTTTCCTTTTTTCAAATTAATAATTAATGGAAAAAAGGAAACTATAGACAAATTTAGTAGAATTTGAATTTTTTATCTAGTTTACTTGACTAATTCCAGTCTTCTTTTTAAAAGAAGTAAAAAAAATAAAATTGATTTGCTATTTTAATAATTTTCAATTATTATTTAACAGGCAAATATAAATTACCTATTTAGATAATAATATTAAAATTTATGATTATATTATTTTTATTTTGAAATAATTATATTAATATGTAAATTTATTTATAGAACAGAAATTTAGAATTTAGAAAACAATAAAATTTTCGTCCAAGAGATTATTTGGAGGAATATTTACACAGTGGAAAGAAGTATTCGTAACGCTTGTAGCGCGGTATAAAGGTACATGTGTAATGATACAGAGGTAGCAAGAGTGAGACTATGAATTAGATGAAAAATGGACCAAATATCCTCAGGATATTCTGGTCAAAATTTACTGGAAGTCCTTTAAATTCTCTTTTTTTCGTTTGATAATTTCTAAAAATCTACAAGAGCCACAAAGATTTTTTTTCTTGTAGTTTTTTTGTTTGTTTACAATGCACACAGAATAATATTTTTGTTTTGAATGCAAATGACGAAAGACCCAAAAGTGGTATATATTGAGATAAGATTTGATGTTTGGAAAAATTGTTAAGAAAAAAAGAAGAGCTTTTGAAAAGTTGCTGAAGAACCTAAGAGAACAATGCTAATTATTATGTATTTCTATATCGTAAATGCGAAATTACAATTCAATGAGTTTGGAATTATCATTATGTTGTGCTTTATTGTTATCCGTATTAGTTTTTTTTTATTTTATTGCGTACCAGTTTACTCTGAATTATTATGAATTTTTTTGTTTTGAACTGCATCAGTACGGTGTGTATTATTATGATTTTTATGATTATGATCTGCAACAGTACGGTATGCAATATTATGATCTGTACAATTATGATTTATGGCAACTTGATCTGTATCATTGTGATGTATATTATTAAGATCTGAATCATTATTATGTTTCTCATTATGATCTGTACCTTCATAATGCTTATCATTATAATCTGCAACAATATGATTTTCATTATCATGATCTATAGCATAAGTTATGCTAATAACTATGTGTAGAATCATAATTTGCAGCATTATAATCTGTATCATTGTAATTTGTAGGATCAAAATTTGCAGCATCATAATCTGTAACATCATAGTCTGTAGCATAATAATTTACAGCATTATAATCTGCATCAGTATGATTTGCATTATTATGATCTATTGCATTATAATCTGTAGCATCATAATCTGTAGCGTTATAATTTGAAGCAGCATTATCTTCAGCATCACAATATATAAGATCACAATTAGAACCATCATAGTTTTCAGGATCATAATTTGTAGTATCATAATCTGCAACTTCATAGTCTGCAGCATCATAATCTGTACCATCCTAATCTATTTCATTGTGATTTGAATTATTATGATACGTGTCATTACATGTTTTATCATCTGCATCATTATGATCTTTATCATTATGTTTTATATCATTATGTTTCATATCATTATGATTTGTATCATTATGATTCGTATCATTATAATTCGTCTCATTATGATTTGTATTAGCATAATCGGTATCGCTACAACCAACATCATGACAATAATTCTTACATTCATCATCATCATCATCATCATTCCAATCAACGTTCCCTTACAATGAAAAATCATTTACTATTTTAATTTTCACATCCAATTATGACAGATCTACAAATATTTCTTCTGTAAAGAATTCATTACACCTTAAAAACTATTTCGCTTACAATCTAGAAAACTTTCTCATAATGATCCAATTGGTACGAAAACCAATATTTATAATGAAACCGTATCAGGTACATCAGCATTTTTATTTTTGTTTCTTTTTGTTTTTGTTTTCTATTTACCATTCCATTAGATTGTTAGACTAAATTTTTTTCTCCTCTTTTTTATATTAATTAACAATTTAAAGGACATCCAGTGACATTGTTTTTAATGAATGAATTTTTATTTGTGGATTATAGAAATTTTAGACTGCTTTGTGTGATAGCAGCGTTAGAGAGACACCGGGGATTAAGGAAAGCAGAAAAAAAAGATGTGTACACCTCGTTTGTTGCTTATTTTTAGACGATATAATGCCGCCAGGCCTAAGTTTACCTGCGGATCGAAGTTCACTTGTAGATGTGGCGGATGCTATTTTTTTTTTCTTTTCTATCACACACTCGAACGTTTCTTGTCAAGATTTAGAGTGATTGAAAAGAATATGAAATTAAAAACGAAACTTTTTTTTCGCCCCACGGTGTCATCGACAATATTGTTTGGGAGACTTTCTTTTTTTTCTACTGGTAAATGATTGGATGCGTTGGTTCAACTGGTAAATCACTGTCCAACTTCAAGGCAACTCCATTCTTTGTCATCAAATAGTGAGTGAGCAATTCACCTTTACCTTTGACAAAAACATTGCCACGTTCGACGAATCCAAAACCAAATGGCTCCAGAATTTTTCGCGTCTCATCCGTCACCTGGTGGAAAATTTTTTGAGAAAATTAGTCACACAACTCAAAAATTCACAATTTTTTAATTTAATTTTTCATCAACTAACTAAATGCACCGATAAAAAAATTCAGCTGGATCAGCGATAAGTTTATCTAGAATAGCGAAAGTCTTAATCTTAACTGAATCGATTAAAAATTTCGCTAATATAGTGAAATTTGTTAATTTTAAATTTTTCAGGCTAAGTTTTTTTCGGTGTAACTATAGTTACACCGAAAAAATCTTTGCCTGAAAAAGTAAAAATTTACAAATTAAAAAATTAAAATTTAAAATTAACTAAATAACACATTAATTAAATAATTAAATAGCTAAAGAAAAAAGGTAATTTAGTCATTATTTAACTAAATAACTAACTAATTAACTAACTATGTAACTGTACAACTAAATAATTAACTAAATCACAAAGTAATTAACTAACTAATTAATTACCTAAATAACTAGGTAAATTACTTATTATTTAGGTAAATAACTAAATAATTAACTAATATTGTAACTAAATAACTATTAATTAATTAATTAAATAGCTAAGTAATTAAGTAATTAATTTATTAAATAAAAAAGTAATTAACTAAAAAACTTAAAAACGAACTAATTAACTAAATAATTAATTATCTAGCTAATTAATTATCTGATGAACTAAATAAGTCAATAACTAAATAATTAACTAATTAATCAACAAAACAACTAATTAATTAACAAACTAATTAATTAATTAACTAATTATTCAACAAAATTACTAATTAACCAAATAATTAATTATATAGGTAAATGACGAACGAAACAACTTAATAAGTAAATAAATTAATTAAATAACTATTTAACTGAGCAGTATACTAATTAATTAATTAACCAAATAACTTAATAAATTAAAAATTAACTTATCTAAAAAAAACAAATAACTAACTAAATAACTTTGTAACTAAATTATTAAATATTGAATTATCGAACTAACTAATTAACTAAACAAATAAACAAAAACTAAATTAATTAATTCAATTCATTTTTTTAACTAAAAAATAATTTAATTGTTTCGAAGATTTTCACAAACATTTTTTGACAATAATTGTACTCCTAGGAAGAATATTGTATTTTACGAAAATAATTGTATTCTATGACAAATTTTATTACAATTTTTCAAATTTATAAAGCATTTTATCAAAATTTTTTATAATAATTGGACTCTCGAGAAAAATTTTTATTATTTATGAAAATAATTGATTTCTAGCGAAGAATTTTATTCAATTTTGCTTCCTCGTGAGGAAGCTTTGTAGTCGTTTAATTTACAAAATTTTTAAAAATCCTTTTAACAAATTTTCTTCTATATGGGACTATGTTATATAAGACCCTGAACAATTGTCCGGATGTATGTATGTGTGTGTGTATGTGTGTGTGTGTGTGTGTGTGTGTGTGTGTGTGGATCCCGATTTTTGTGAACACGATAACTCAAAGAGGTTTTAACGAATTTGGCTAAAATTTACCAGGTATGTTTATCCTAAAAATATCTCGAAATGGATTGATAGACTTTAAAAAATTCTCAAAAAAAAAATTTTTTTTGACATTTTTCTAAAAAAAATTTTTTTTCAAAAAATTTTTTTTAAGTTGGTTATTGAAGTTAATAAACAATAAAATCTTATTCTTTGCATCAAGACGAATCGATTGGTATATAAAAAGTATAAATTGTATGAGAATTTACAGAGTTAATCACAATTAAAGCTGAAAAATTCGCATTTTTATCAAAAAATGAGTTCCTTCCGCAAAATTATGTTGCCGTATAAGAAAATCTTACTCATTTATTTCTAAAATCTTATTCTTTGCACCAAGACGGATCGATTGGTATATATAAAGTATATATTGTATTTAAATTTATAGAATTAAAACCAATTATAGACAAAAAATTTGCACTTTTAATAGAAATTCATTTTTTCTTAAAAATCATGTTGCTGTACAATAAAATGTTATTATTTATTGAAAAATAAATCAAAAATCTTATTCTTTGCATCAAGACGAATCGATTGATTTATATAAAGTATATAGTCTATTGAAAAATATAGAATTAATTACAATCAAATTTGAAAAATTCACTTTTTTACTAAAAATTTTTTTATTTATTTAGATTCATATTACTGTTTAAGAAAATTTTATTCTTTCTATTAAGACGAATGCACTTTATTTTATAAATGTTAAATTGTATTAAAAGTTATTTAAAAATTAAATATTCTTATTGTTAATGCTTCCTCCACGAGGAAGCAAATTTTTTTTGCTGATCGTAAAGAGGAAGCAAAATGTTCATGTAATGAGCATCTGGATTTACAACTTGTTTTTTTAAATAATTGAATTCTTATAAAAAAATATATTATTTGTGAAAAAAATATTTTTATTTAAATTTTTCGAAATAATTGAATTTCTCAAAACTATTTTTTTAATTCTATGAATATATTTAAATTCTTTGGAGAAACTTTATTAAAAAAATTAAAAATAATTGAATTTGTGTGAAGAAATTTATAAAAAAATTGGTAAGTAATTGAATTCTTGTTAAATTTTTATTAAAATTTTCTTTAAATAATAGAATTCTTTTAGAAATTTTTTTTAAAATAGTAGATATTAAAAATAATTGAAATGAGGAGAATTTTTTAAAATAATTGAAATTTTGCCAAGAATTTTATTAAATTTTTTGAAAATAATTCAATTTCGAAGAAGAATTTTATTATTTATAAAGATAATTGAAATTTTGACGAGAATTTAAAAAAAATTTTGAACATAATTGAATGTCTGCGAAGAATTTTATTACTTTTGAAAATAATTGAATTTCTATAATCAGTTGTTCTTAAAATTTCTATTTAAATTCATTAAAAATTTTACTAAAATTTCAAATTGAAACCGTTTGAAGTTCATTTATTTATGCAAATTGTAAACGTAACTTTTTTAAAATTGAATTAATTTTGAAATATTTAAAAGTAAAATTATTCATTAAATAATTTATTTATTTTATGATAGTTGTTCAAGATTTATGTTATTTAAAAAGAAATAACTTTTTAACTAAATTATAAAATATTGAATTATCGAACTAAGTAATTAACTAAACAAATAGACAAAAACTAAATTAAAATTAATTCAATTCATTTTTTAACTAAAATCTATTTCACTTTTTATTCATGTAATTTTTTTTCTGTAAAAAATCTCAAATGTTAATTAATTATTATAGTTGAGAAATATTCACCTGTATGTGACCAACTTTTCCAGTGCTCTCCATTCGTGATGCGACATTTACCGTGTTTCCCCAAATGTCGTAATGAGGTTTTCTTGCGCCGATTACACCGGCAATAATGGGACCATGATTGATGCCCATTTTTAGGACAAAATGATTAAAGCTTTGCTCGTTGATACTTGAAAGGGCCTTTTTCAATTCTAAAGCAAAATCGACGAGTGTCGAGAGGTGTCCCCATCTGGGTCCATCGTTATTTGTTGAATCCATTATTCCCGAAGCTGCCATATAGGTCGATCCAATTGTCTTTATTTTAATTATATCCCTAAATTCATCTCTATCAAGTATCTGAAAAAGAAAAAAATTGTTTAATTTTATTTTGTTTCTTATTTTAATAACTTAATTGTTTATTTAGTAAATAAATAAAATCAAATTATATTAAATAATTACAGCAAATAATAACTTTAGTTATCAACTAAAAAATAATTATAATAAATAATTTTGTTTATTAATTACTAAAACATTGCAATAACAGTAAAGAATATTTTTATTTACTAATTTAATAAATTAAAAGAAAATTCAAATTTATTTTTTACGTTCAACAAAAAGTGCTTTTTGTAAAAAAGACAATATTTTTATTTACTATTTTAATAAATTAAAAGTAAATTCAAATTTATTTTTTACTTTCAACAAAAAGTGTTTTTTTCAAAAAAAAAAAAATAAAAAAGACAAGGTTCTTTTAGCAGTATTTTTTTCTTATTAACAATAAGGGATTATAGAATCTAATTATAAAATATGGAAATAAGAAATATAAAAAATTCAAAGGAGAAAAGGTTGAAGGTAAAATAAAATAAGGGGAAAATAATGCTTACCTTCAGATAATTGAAATTAAAAATTATTGTTAGGATAATTATTTAAACAAACTGTACAAAAAAATTTTTAAATTCTAATTATAATATTGTATTTTTTTTTAATTTGTAATTTAAATATAATATAAACTAATGTTATTTCATTGTTCGATTAGAAATTAAAGAAAGAAAGAAATATTAAAAAATACATTTTTTTTTATATTTAAATTACAAAAGGTCAATTATTTAATTTGTGAACGTTTTGAATATTTGAATTTAATAAACTTGATGTTTATAATACAATGTTGAAGCGAGTTTAAAGTTTGGTCCATATTGTACATGGACGTCGAGAAAATGGAATTGTGCAATATAATAGTCAAGAGACGTGACAGGAATTTGCAAAAACCCATCAGAAATTTTCTAAAATTCAAAGTTATAAACTTCACACAAGTTTTTCAGTATTTTTTTTTTTTTTTTTTTTGATGAAAAAAGGAATAGAAAAAAATTTAATCCGCTGTGGTAACTAATTAGCAGTAATATAAAATTTTTTTGCTTAATTAAGAAGAGTTTTATTTATTTTTTTTTAATTTTCTCATAAAAGTATTATTTTTGGAAAATTAGAAATATGGAAAATTTATTATTTATTTATTCTACTAACAGTATTATTTTTTGTAGAATATTTGTATTATTTATCTTCTTGTAGTTATAAATTATAATTTTTGTTTAATTTTTTTGTTGTAAATTATAATTTTTATTTACTTTTTTTTCTTGAAAATTATAAAATTTTTATTCAATTTTTTCTTGAAAATTACAATTTTTATTTAATTTTTTTTGTTGAAAATTATAATTTTTATTTAGGTACTTTTTTTTGAAAATTACAATATTTTTATTTAATTTTGTTGTTGTTGTAAATCATGATTTTCATTTTATTTTCTGTGGTTGCAAATCTAAAGTAGTTTTTTATTAAATTATTATGTTTAAAATATTTTTTTAATTTTTGATAAACTTTGTTTTCAATTGTAGTTCATGAAAATTCTAATTAATTTAAGGCTTTTCCAAGGGCCTAATAAGTTTTCCCTATTTTCTTGTTAAGGTCAGAGGAATGTTTTATTTAAACAAATATAATTCATTTGAGTCAAATAAAAATATATTTTTTTGTAATAAATTATTTTTGTTAGGTAAATAAAAATTTTATTTAACAATTTTTATTTAAACCGAATAAAATCATTTATGCCAAACATAATAAATAATCTTAAAAACATAAATAAACGCAATGAATAAATAAATAATTATTATTTGCTTACATTTATTTAAACCAAATATAATTTGTTTGAGTTAAATAAATGTATATTTGTCAAAAAATTTACTAAATCATGCATTTTAAATTAAAAGTTTGTTTAGAACAAGTAAAATTCAATTTGATTCAAATAAAATTTTTATTTATGTTCGAATAAAATTTTTATTTCTCCAAACCTGGTTGGTTCTGAGACAAATATACTTTTAATTAACTCAAAATAAATTATATTTGGTTATATTTTTATTTTATGTTTTGAAATAAAATTTTTCACTGGGTGTAGTAAATTATTTTTTGTTTTAAATTAAAAATGTTATTTAACAGAAATACAAATTTTAATTTTAACCAAATATAATTTATTCGAACAAAATAAAATTTATTTGAACCGTTGTAAATTGATTTGAACCAAATAAAATTCATTTTAACCTAATAAAATTCATTTAAACCAAATAAATAATTTAGCAGGATATAAGTCAATTATACCTTTTTCTGAGTGAACTAATAAAAATTCCCCTATTTTTACGGGGAATATATGAAACAAATTTAGAGCGAATTAATTTCTAAGTTTCATAAGGAAATGTATTTATAAATATATTTTCAGAATTAATTTAAAATTCAGAATCCATAAAGAAACAGAAATAAAATTTCAAATAAGGAATTCTATTTTACTAAAATAAAAAAAGGGGATATTTTTTTTTTTTCGTTAAACTCACAGCATCAAAGTCCGAGATGACCTCATTCAGGAACCTGAGACATTCGAGACCTTGATTATTGATACTCTCTTCGCTGTAGAAATCGGAAAAATTTGGCATACTGGCAAAAAGAACACCAACTTCGGCATAACTTTGACTATATAAATCGTCATGGTGCCTTGTGGTTGATAAGAAATAAGCGGCCACATGAGGTGGAAGAATGTTATAAATCAATGCTCCATTTCTTCTTTTCATATCAGAAGCTCGTTCCCTTTGTGCGACCACTTCCTGTCCCCTGAGGTACAGTATTCTTCTCGCTTTTTCCGTCTGTACAAAAAAAACAAAAAACAAAACAAAAAAATAACAATGTCTCTTTTATTAAATTGTCGATTATTAGGGGATTTTGTTATATTTTTTTTCTTCTTTTTTGGGACATAAAAATCTCAAGAGAGAAAGAGAGAGAGAGAGGAAGGGAGGTCTTCATCATCGATAAAAGCGGCTTTGCCATGGGATTACGCACGGAAATGATTCTCGTTAGACTCGAAAAGCCCCCAATATGAACACACGGCTTATTTTCCTCTAACGTCCCTCTCCTCTCTCCTGACATTGGAATTTTCAATTAACACTCAAATTAATTCTCCCCTTTGAATTGATTATTATTAATCGCCTTTTTTCTCTAATTTTCCAATTTCCGATAAAATTATCCCATAAATATTATAACGAAATTTTCGACTTTATAATTTTTTTATTCTTATTCTACACTGGGGAAAAAATTATTTGATTTACAATTTTAAATAACCGATTACTTATCTATTATCAAAAAAATATTCACTTAATTTTTATTTTAGTTAAATTAATTGTTATTTCAACAAATAAATTTAGTTTTTGAGACAAATAATGAATATTTATTTGTCGGTTAATTGAGATTAATTAATTTAATAATTTTTAAATAGTAGTAGATAATAATAATTCCCCCCCTCCCAAAAAAAAGAAGTAATTTTTTCTTTTGCAAAAGCAAGTGGAATGGGAGAATTATTTGAAGTGGAAAATAGTAGGTATGCGCAATTATCTCATAAAGAGAATGAATCTTAATTGGTACATAATTAATGAGTAATTAGTTCTACTAACGTATCTTGCGACTACGACCAGTGCGAGAGCAATGGTTAGCAGTGTAACAGAGAGAGAATGTTTGAGAGGAAAAGCCACTACTGTTCCTAGTGCTGCCGAACAACGTTCCTCACGATCTAAATTAGGTCCCAAGAGTAAATTCAATCCACATTGTGCTCCGGCCAGCATGAACATCAACATGGATTTTCCAAGATAACTTATGTACACAGGCATGGATATAACTATTAAGGCAAGAACGCCAATGTAGGAGTAATATGAAGGATATGGACATTTCAATGGACCCTTTGATGGTCCATCCGCTGACTGATCGACCTCCTCAATTGCGGCACAGTTTGCCTGAAACATTAAATTATTCCCATTAATATCATTGTTATTATTATTATACAAGAGTTAATTAATTTCCTCTCTAAATTATTCAAGAAGAGAAATTTTGAATATTACAAAATTTAATGTTTTTAAACTAATAAAACAATTAAGATTTTTTAGAATTCAAAATTAATTAATTAACTATATTAATCTCCGTATTCTTTCATTCATTCTGTCCGCAGAAGTTTGTTTCCGTGTTTACTTTTGCTTTTATTTTTCTAAAAAATATTGTTTGACAAATTGAAAATATACAGGTATTTTTTCATGATTTATAATAATTTACTTATTTTTTATAAACGTTTTTTTTGTATTAAGGGCTCTGCCCGTATAAGAATCTTAAATAAATAATATTTCAAATTAGAACATTTAAAAAAAATTATGATTAACAAATTAAAAAATATATCCATTTTGTTTGTTGGATGCTTTTTTCTATAACAAATTTCGTTTGACTGATCTAAATTATTATGCAAATTATTCTCCTTTTTATTTATAAAAAATACTAGAAAATTGTTAATTGTTAAAAAATTTTTATCAAGAAGTAGGAAATATACCCATTTTATGCATAATTTTTATTTCTCAATGACAATATTGTTTACAAATTGATTTTTTTCTTTTGGGAAGAAAAACCTCAGATATTCCCGTTTCTTAATATTTTTGTAGAAAATTCTCAATTTTCGTAAGGAAATAATTTGCATCAATTCTATTTCTTAATTTCAATTGTTTTAATAAAATTCAAAGTTTTTTAAAAATAAAGGGAAAAAATGTTTATAAATTATATTTGTCAATTAGAAAATTTAATTGAAAATGAAACTGAAAATTTTTGAATTTTTAGAAAATAAAGGAAAAAATTTTATTGAAAAAAATATTCTGTTAAAATTTATTTACGAATATCTTTAATTGTAAAATTATTCGAAAACAATAATTTCTTTTTTAAATATTTTAAATATTTAATTTTTATTATTTTTCCATAGGGATTATGATTTTCAAAAATTTCAAATTCAAACTTTTTTGAAATTAATCAAGTTTAAAAATATTGTTATAAAACATAAAGAAAACGATTACTCCGAGTCGAAGACTCGAAGTGATCGATTTCTTTATGTTTTATAATAATTTAAGAGGATTGAGTTGAAAAAAAACATTAGATATTCCCGTTTTATAATAAATAATATTTATAATAATAATAATAATAATAATAATAATAATAATAATAATAATAATAATAATAATAATAATAATAATAATAATAATAATAATAATAATAATAATAATAATAATAATAATAATAATAATAATAATAATAATAATAATAATAATATGAGGTGATTTCAGTTCTGAGAGATAAGCTGGGCAAACCTGATCTGAAGATAGAGTGCCACCTTTTGACGCGCTTTAGAAGTACTAAGGTGGCTCTAATCCGCTTAGCAGAAGCAGAAAGTGACATTCTGCTTAAACTTGGCCGAATCAAAATCGGCTGGATAAACGCTCTAATTCGTGAGCATGTTGAAGTAATTAGGTGCCAAAAGTGCCTAGGTTACGGACACAGAACCCTATTCTGCAAAGGCCCCGACAGAAGTAAAAACTGTCGGAGATGCGGCGGAGAGGGACACCTCGCGAAGAGCTGTAACGTTAAGCCGAAGTGCCTTACATGCTTGGACCTGGGAAAGCCAGAAACAAATCATGAGTCCGGAAAGAGAGCCTGCCCGGTTTACTGGGAAGAACTGCAAAAGATTAAAAAGGCAAATCCTTAAAATTTTTGCAGGTTAACCTGCATACAAGTAAGGATGCACAGTTGCTCCTAATGCAAACGGCAAGGGAAAATAAGGTCGATGTCCTGTTCTGCAGTGAGCAGTATCAAGGAAGCGACCTCGCCCCTTGGTATCAGGATAAGGCGAAGAGAGCCGCCATAAAGCTGTGCAACCCAGAATTGCGGGTTGACAAGTTTCTGGAGACGAGCAGTGGGTTCGTGTGGATAGAGGTAGCTAATATACGTATGTATAGCTGCTACTTCTCACCCAACGACCCACTGACAAACTTCGAAGCCAATATCGAAGACCTAGAAGCGAGCCTCACAGAATCCAGGCTGGATGTCATCATCACTGGCGATTTTAACGCAAAGTCGCCAGAGTGGGGTGAGACGAGACTCGACAAGAGAGGAATTCGTATTGGAGAAATGATCTCCAGAAACGACTTATTAGCTGTGAACCGAGGCAATACATGGACTTTTAGACGAGGTTCGATCGGATCAATTATAGATCTAACGATCGCATCGTCTAAACTATTTAGCCGCATAAGCGACTGGCTGGTCTCAGAGGAATATACCGCAAGTGACCACCAGTACATTGAGTTCTCAGTCTCGATGGGAGGCACACGAGGAGAAAAAAGACAGGATGTTCCTAGTCGCAAAACCTCCTCGTGGAATATGAAGAGACTCGACAAGGAAAAGTTCGGCCGGTCCCTAAGAGAATCCCTTTTGATTGAGGACTTGGGCTGGGTGAAAAGGCCGAGCAGTCTGGATGGGAAGGTGCGAGCGGTGAGAAACATGATAGTCACCGCTTGCAATGCATCAATACCACGCAAAGGCGCCATTCCCGTAAGAAAATCCTTGCACTGGTGGTCAGAGGAGCTAGCCTCCTTGAGGAAGGAATGCCTCAAAGCAAGAAGGACATATACCCGATCTAAGGGAGATCCCTTGCTAAAAGAGGCTTTCAAGGAGGCAAAAAAGAACCTCAAGAAAGAGATCCGCAAGTCGCGACGCCGTAGCTGGAAGGACCTAATCGAGGAAGTCGATAAGGACCCATGGGGTCTGGCTTTTAAAATCGTTACTAAGAAATTAGCGACGAGGCAAAAGACCCCCGGCCTGGACAATCCCGATTGGGTCAGAAAGATAATAAATTCTTTGTTTCCTCCTGCGGAACCATACCTTAGAAGGGACTGGAGTTTTTGCAAAGTCGAAGAGGAGGAACTCTTCACACTTAGTGAACTGCAAAAAGCAGGCAAAAGATTGAAAACAGGCAAGGCGCCTGGAATCGATGGGATAAGTAACGAGATCCTAAAGTTGGTAATCGACACTTCACCCCAGATTCTGCTTCGATGCTTCAATCTTTGCCTTGAGAGAGGAGAGTTCTTCCGCGACTGGAAGCGACAGAGGTTAGTCCTCCTAAGGAAAGGTGAAAAACCTCTAGATAAGGTTTCATCGTACAGGCCTATATGCCTGCTAGATACGATGGGTAAACTTCTAGAGGATATGGTTCTGCAGAGAATGCAAAGCCACTTGACCGAAGAGAATCGTCTATCCGATCACCAATTTGGTTTCCGTAAAGGCAAGTCCACGGTTGATGCCATCCAGGCAGTTGTGGACATAGCCAAAGCAGGAAAAAACAAATTGGGACCTGGGAAAAAGAAGAGCTTCTGCGCGTTGGTAGCAATTGACATACGCAACGCGTTTAATTCCGCAAGATGGAAAGATCTCATCGAGTCGATGGAAAAGAAAAACATGCCGCCCTACTTGTTGCGGATAATGGATAATTATCTTAGCGACAGGTGGGTTATATATGAGGGAGACACCTGCACTCTCAAGGAAGAGATGCAGCGTGGAGCTCCTCAAGGCTCGAGGGTGGGTCCATTTGTATGGAATGTATCTTACGATGATTTTCTGCGAATGGATCTGCCCGAAGGTGCGGTGATCATCGGCTTTGCGGACGACGCGTTATTCGTGTGCACTGCCGAAAGTGAGGAGGCTCTTGGGACATTGGTGAACGAATGTCTGCGACTAGCTAAAAGCTGGCTGGATACCAGAGGTCTTGAAATGGCCCTGGAAAAGACCGAGGCACTGCTGGTCACAGACAGACGTGGTTATGAGCTCCCACGAATCGTGATAGACGGATTCGAGGTCAAGTGGAGTAAGCAAATTAAATATCTTGGTGTGGAGTTAGATGGAAGGTTACACTTCCACCACCACATGGCTACGGCGTCAAATAAGGCGATCGAGTGTGCGGCTAATCTTTCACGGCTAATGCCAAATGTTGGCGGACCCCGTGAACAAAAAAGAAGACTGGTGGCGAGTGTCGCCCACGCTAAAATGCTCTATGCAGCACCAGCGTGGGCCCCATCCCTGAGGAGTAAAAGATGTGTGACCATCTGTGAAAAGATACTGTCTGCGCAGAGATCGATAACAACGCGTATCATCTCTGCATATAAGACGGTATCTACGAGTGCTGTGCAGGTCCTTGCAAGTGTCCCGCCAGCAGATCTTTTGGCGAGGGAAAGGGAAGAAATGTTTCTCTTTTCTAAAGAAAGCAGTTCCTTGAATGAGGAATTAAGACCAAGCAAGGGCCTGATCCGCAAAGAAGCGAGGCACAGGCTCATAGAAAGATGGCAAGAAAGATGGGATGGTGAGGAAAAAGGTCGATGGACTTATCGCCTTATCCCGGCACTCGCCACCTGGATAAATAGGAAACACGGTCAGGTTTCCTATTATATGACTCAGGCGCTCACAGGTCACGGGTGTTTTAACTCGTACCTGTGTCGCTTTAAATTACGCGAGGACAAGGTGTGTGCATATTGCCAGTTCCCTGAGGACAACGCGGAGCACACCCTCTTCTCATGCAAGAATTGGGACTTGGAGAGGCGGGCCATGTTCGAAGGTGTAAACAGTCAAGTTACACCGGAGAACATGGTATCGCTGATGACCCAGTCGGAAGAGAATTGGCGGCAAGTCGAGAACTTCATAATCTCGGTTATGTCGAGGAAGGATCTCGACGGCCGCCAAAAAGCGTAATTTAAACAGCTTTTAATTTTGTTCGTTTGTTTTTTATTAATTTATTTTGTGATTTATTTGTCCTTATACATTTTTTAATTGTTTGTGTTTTTTATTCATCTTTGTACAGTTTTATGTTTTTTGAATTTTTTATACGCGTTTATTTTTTCTTTTTTTATATATCCGTTTATAATTTTATCTTCTGACTTTTTAC